TCTGCAGAAGATCCGACCAACCGCGATGCAAGTGCAGAAGCTAGTGTGTATATATATGTATACAACGAAGGCTATACATATACAGCCCCCCGCTCCTGTGCCAGGTAAGTCCACTACGGGCTCACCATAGCCCGTGCTACTTGGAGCTTGTTCCGAGTAGCTGAATCTATAACAATAACATTTCACAGAGTTCGATCCTCGGCGGTGCAAGGGCAGGGAAGGTGGTGAAGGGTAGGGAAGGTGGTGAAGGGTAGGGAAGGTGGTGAATGGTAAGGGAAGGTGGTGAAGGGTAGGGAAGGTGGTGAATGGTAAGGGAAGGTGGTGAAGGGTAGGGAAGGTGGTGAAGGGTAAGGGAAGGTGGTGAAGGGTAAGGGAAGGTGGTGAAGGGTAGGGAAGGTGGTGAAGGGTAAGGGAAGGTGGTGAAGGGCAGGGAAGGTGGTGAAGGGCAGGAAAGCTGGTGAAGGGTAGGGAAGGTGGTGAAGGGTAGGGAAGCTGGTGAAGGGTAAGGGAAGGTGGTGAAGGGTAGGGAAGGTGGTGAAGGGCAGGAAAGCTGGTGAAGGGTAGGGAAGGTGGTGAAGGGCAGGAAAGCTGGTGAAGGGTAGGGAAGGTGGTGAAGGGTAGGGAAGGTGGTGAAGGGTAGTGAAGGTGGTGAAGGGTAGGGAAGCTGGTGAAGGGTAAGGAAGGTGGGTAAGATCTCTCCTCATGCATCCCTTCCCTTCCAAACCCTCCTACTGTATTTTTTTTGTATATTTTTTTGCATGATGTATCCGGAGGGTTGAAACATGCGCAGTGTACAGGCACGTCTCCTCCCCCTCCCCCCTCCTCTCCCCCTCCCCCCTCCCCCCTCCTCTCCCCCCCTCCCCCCTCCTCTCCCCCCTCCCCCCCTCCCCTCCCCCCCTTGCTGGAGGAAAAAAAACAACAAAAGTCTCTCCCTCTGAACAGAAAACTTCCCGTAACGAAAATCGTGGAGTGAATGTGTTTTTTTTTTTTGACAGGGAAAACTGGCAAGTGGGGTAGATCTCCCCTGGGTGACATGGGGAGGTCGTGGATGATGCCTCCTGCCAGATCTGTCTGCTTTCCTTCCCTGGCTGTCTGCCTGACTGTCTGCTGACCAACATAACTGGCCAATTGTCTGCCTACTAAATTAGCTGCTTGGGGGGGGGGGGTGCCTTTTGCTCCTGTTTGCTTGCTTACTTCACTATATATGTCTGCCATTAGTGCTTGACAGACAGTCTCTGCTTGTCTGCCTGCCTGTCTGCCGTGCACATCCTTACCTACGTGTAATACCTGCCTCTCAAACACCTGTAATATATGCCTATACCTGCTGCCTTGCCTGCCTCCCAACACCACCCTTCAGCATTTCCCAAATGTGTTCAGAGAATATTCCTGGTGCGTAGCGGCAGGGGCCTTCCCCCCCTGCCCCCCCCCTCTCTCTCTCTCTCTTTCTCTGGGAAGGGAGTGTGCTCCGTCCACTCTCACTCCCTTTCACTCTAATGCTTAATCACACTTTCTCTCCTACTTTCACTCTCATTTTTCCTCCTATCATCAGCACACTCATTTTCCCCCTCACACTCACCCACACTACACCTTCCCACATCCCGGGACCTTCCCTCCATCCCACACAATACTGTCCCACTGACACTCCTGTTCCATGGACAGATATCTTCTGAATCTTAGATGCAAGAATTTAGTTACACAGGCACTCTGGGTGTGTGAATAAAGATATCACTGTTACTCTTACACGAGAGAATAGGTACAATGCCTCGTCACCTTCAGAAACCCTAAACTCACTTTCAGGGACCCTAAACTCACTTTCAGGCACCCTAAATCCACCTTCAGGGACCCTAAATCCACCTTCAAGGACCCTAAACCCACCTTCAGGCACCCTAAACTCACTTTCAGAGACCCTAAACCCACCTTCAGGGACCCTAAACTCACTTTCAGGCACCCTAAATCCACCTTCAGGCACCCTAAACTCACCTTCAGGGACCCTAAACTCACCTTCAGGGACCCTAAACTCACCTTCAGGGACCCTAAACTCACCTTCAGGCACCCTAAACTCACCTTCAGGGACCCTAAACCCACCTTCAGGGACCCTAAATCCACCTTCAGGGACCCTAAACCCACCTTCAGGCACCCTAAACTCACTTTCAGAGACCCTAAACCCACCTTCAGGGACCCTAAACTCACCTTCAGGCACCCTAAACCCACCTTCAGGCACCCTAAACTCACTTTCAGAGACCTTAAACCCACCTTCAGGGACCCTAAACTCACCTTCAGGCACCCTAAACCCACCTTCAGGCACCCTAAACTCACCTTCAGGGACCCTAAACTCACCTTCAGGGACCCTAAACTCACCTTCAAGGACCCTAAATTCACCTTCAGGGACCCTAAACTCACCTTCAGGGACCTTAAACTCACCTTCAGAAACCCTAAACTCACCTTCAAGGACCCTAAACTCACCTTCAGGGACCCCTACACTCACCTTCAGACCCTAAACTCACCTTCAGAGACCGTAAACTCACTTTCAGAAACCCTAAACTCACCTTCAGGGACCCTAAACTCACCTTCAAGGACCCTAAACTCACCTTCAGGCACCCTAAACTCACCTTCAAGGACCCTAAACTCACCTTCAGGCACCCTTAACTCACCTTCAGGCACCCTTAACTCACCTTCAGGCACCCTAAACCCACCTTCAGGCACCCTAAACTCACTTTCAGAGACCCTAAACCCACCTTCAGGCACCCTTAACTCACCTTCAGGCACCCTTAACTCACCTTCAGGCACCCTAAACCCACCTTCAGGCACCCTAAACTCACTTTCAGAGACCCTAAACCCACCTTCAGGCACCCTAAACTCACCTTCAGGCACCCTAAATCCACCTTCAGGCACCCTAAACTCACCTTCAGGGACCCTAAACTCACCTTCAGGGACCCTAAACTCACCTTCAGGGACCCTAAACTCACCTTCAGGGACCCTAAACTCACCTTCAGGCACCCTAAACCCTTCTTCAGGGACCCTAAACCCACCTTCAGGCACCCTAAACCCTTCTTCAGGGACCCTAAACCCACCTTCAGGCACCCTAAACCCTTCAGGGACTTCAACGGGAAATGCAGGAAAAATTTCCTGTTGAATGCAGGACAAAATTTCTCATTTAATGCAGGTAAATTTAACATTGGAACTCTCTTCAATAAATTAATACTTCATACACTGATATTCTCATACACAATTTCTCCTTGCTGGCCTCTTCCCCTTGCTTTCAGTAATGTATTAAATGTATTTTCTATTAAACTTGATAAAGCTCTTTCTGCGAAAATTGTCATTTACAATATATAAAGTTTGATTATTTTTGATGTTCTATTTTGTATATAATTGTATTAGAAAGTTAAAGTAGCTTAAGGAGACGAGTTAGAAAAGATGTAACTAGTGAGTTAAGATGTAATTAGACATTTAATGTAATGGCCCTCAGGTTAATTTAAGTAGGTTTCCTAGGTTCTAAAGGCGCAGACCTCAGCAGTTCCACTACTCTGTAAATTTATCTATTGCTATCTTGGTTTTTATATATATATATATAACACAAGTGACTTAAGGTATTTTGCAGGGTGACTGGTGCATATTCAGGGATAGTCATAGGTGGGTAAGTGTCGACTCCTAAATACCAGACTTCTTTCTTTACTCACAGTGAATAATGCTAGTTTGCTTGACTTGTACCTTGTGTATAAAGTACATTATTGATCGATTTAGATACATATATCGTGTGGGCTTTTATATACCTGGCTACGGCTGTTTTGTGGGGTTTTGTCATGTAGATGAACATCTCAATTTAACCCACTCAGGTTAACCCTTGATTTACTCACTTTTGACTCACTCTTGACTCTTAGCTCACTCTTAGCTAGTTCAGCTCTTTCCTTCAGAGACCCTTATTATTCTCAGAATACACAATGTCCAAAATAATCATTGGTGTTTAATCGCCATTGCTCATCAATGCCTGATCAATTTGACTATGACTAACGCATAAATAAACGATTACAAACTTCTCTGCCCCCCAAAAAACATTTTTTCCTTGCAAACTGATCATTGGAATGAATATAAATCTTGTTTATTAATTTCCTTGTCCACTATTAGAGTAATTATAGATAATTGTAACAATAATTGAACTGATAATTCAGTAGTAATATTATTGTAAATAACCAGAGTGACCTAACCTGACCTTTTAATGGTCTGTAATTATGTGGATTATTACCCTTAATTATATTACGAATGACGTCATTTTTACCTGTCACCATTCTGTACCTGTTTAAGTACTCATCTGGTTGTGCTTGCGGGGGTTGAGCTCTGGCACTTTGGTCCCGCCTCTCAACTGTCACTCAACTGGAGTACAGATTCCTGAGCCTATTGGGCTCTATCATATCTACACTTGAAACTGTGTATGGAGTCAGCCTCCACCACATCACTGCCTAATGCATTCCATCTGTGTGTGTGTGTGTGTGTGGTGTGTGTGTGTGTGTGTGTGTGTGTGTGTGTGTGTGTGTGTGTGTGTGTGTGTGTGTGTGTGTGTGTGTGTGTGTACGTACTCACCTAGTTGTGCTTGCGGGGGTTGAGCTCTGGCACTTTGGTCCCGGCTCTCAACCCTCAATCAACAGGTGTACAGATTCCTGAGCCTATTGGGCTCTATCATATCTACACTTGAAACTGTGTATGGAGTCAGCCTCCACCACATCACCCCCTAATGCATTCCACCCGTTAACTACTCTGACACTGAAAAAAGTTCTTTCTAACGTCCCTGTGGCTCATTTGGGAACTTGTTAAGAGAGGAAGTCTTTGGGAATGAAAGTTTGAAGTTCCATTTTCATGGGATTTTCCTGATTTAGTATTTTAGGAAACATTTTCTTACTTGCATGAGGCGTGTTTTTTGACCTTCAGGAAAGCGACGTATTTTATGCAAATTGTGGCTCACTTCGACGGTCAAAATTTTCTGTCTTGTGTGGGAGCTCTGGCGCTCAAGACGATCTCCCGCGAGAAGGTCTCCAGCTCCCCGTTCGACTCCCCCCGGGCAATATCTTTATTGTCGAAAAAAAAAGTAATTTAGTGTGCAGCGCTTCCTGGTTAACACTGTAGAGGTTCACGCTGTAGAGGTTGACGCTGTAGAGGTTGACGCTGTAGAGGTTGACGCTGTAGAGGTTGACGCTGTAGAGGTTGACGCTGTAGAGGTTGACGCTGTAGAGGTTGACGCTGTAGAGGTTCACGCTGTAGAGGTTCACGCTGTAGAGGTTGACGCTGTAGAGGTTGACGCTGTAGAGGTTCACGCTGTAGAGGTTCACGCTGTAGAGGTTGACGCTGTAGAGGTTGACGCTGTAGAGGTTGACGCTGTAGAGGTTGACGCTGTAGAGGTTGACGCTGTAGAGGTTGACGCTGTAGAGGTTCACGCTGTAGAGGTTCACGCTGTAGAGGTTGACGCTGTAGAGGTTGACGCTGTAGAGGTTGACGCTGTAGAGGTTCACGCTGTAGAGGTTGACGCTGTAGAGGTTGACGCTGTAGAGGTTGACGCTGTAGAGGTTCACGCTGTAGAGGTTCACGCTGTAGAGGTTGACGCTGTAGAGGTTGACGCTGTAGAGGTTGACGCTGTAGAGGTTGACGCTGTAGAGGTTGACGCTGTAGAGGTTGACGCTGTAGAGGTTGACGCTGTAGAGGTTGACGCTGTAGAGGTTGACGCTGTAGAGGTTGACGCTGTAGAGGTTGACGCTGTAGAGGTTGACGCTGTAGAGGTTCACGCTGTAGAGGTTCACGCTGTAGAGGTTGACGCTGTAGAGGTTGACGCTGTAGAGGTTGACGCTGTAGAGGTTGACGCTGTAGAGGTTGACGCTGTAGAGGTTCACGCTGTAGAGGTTGACGCTGTAGAGGTTGACGCTGTAGAGGTTGACGCTGTAGAGGTTCACGCTGTAGAGGTTCACGCTGTAGAGGTTGACGCTGTAGAGGTTGACGCTGTAGAGGTTGACGCTGTAGAGGTTGACGCTGTAGAGGTTGACGCTGTAGAGGTTGACGCTGTAGAGGTTCACGCTGTAGAGGTTCACGCTGTAGAGGTTGACGCTGTAGAGGTTGACGCTGTAGAGGTTGACGCTGTAGAGGTTCACGCTGTAGAGGTTGACGCTGTAGAGTTGACGCTGTAGAGGTTGACGCTGTAGAGGTTGACGCTCTACAGGTTCACGCTGTAGAGGTTGACGCTGTAGAGGTTGACGCTGTAGAGGTTGACGCTGTAGAGGTTGACGCTGTAGAGGTTGACGCTGTAGAGGTTCACGCTGTAGAGGTTGACGCTGTAGAGGTTGACGCTGTAGAGGTTCACGCTGTAGAGGTTCACGCTGTAGAGGTTGACGCTGTAGAGGTTGACGCTGTAGAGGTTGACGCTGTAGAGGTTCACGCTGTAGAGGTTGACGCTGTAGAGGTTGACGCTGTAGAGGTTGACGCTGTAGAGGTTGACGCTGTAGAGGTTGACGCTGTAGAGGTTGACGCTGTAGAGGTTGACGCTGTAGAGGTTGACGCTGTAGAGGTTCACGCTGTAGAGGTTGACGCTGTAGAGGTTGACGCTGTAGAGGTTCACGCTGTAGAGGTTCACGCTGTAGAGGTTGACGTTGTAGAGGTTCACGCTGTAGAGGTTGACGCTGTAGAGGTTCACGCTGTAGAGGTTGACGCTGTAGAGGTTCACGCTGTAGAGGTTCACGCTGTAGAGGTTGACGCTGTAGAGGTTCACGCTGTAGAGGTTCACGCTGTAGAGGTTGACGCTGTAGAGGTTCACGCTGTAGAGGTTGACGCTGTAGAGGTTCACGCTGTAGAGGTTCACGCTGTAGAGGTTTGCACCTCAAAGGAGTTTTTTTTATATGTGCATATTTTACCCTGTGATTGTGATGCTCTTTATTTTCCTTCATTCCCTCTAAAGAGGGAATTTTCCCTCTTCCAAAAGAGGGAATTTTCCCTCTTCCAAAAGAGGGAATTTTCCCTCTTCCAAAAGAGGGAATTTTCCCACTTCCAAAAGAGGGAATTTTCCCTCTTCCAAAAGAGGGAATTTTCCCTCTTCCACAAGAGGGAATTTTCCCTCTTCCAAAAGAGGGAATTTTCCCTCTTCCAAAAGAGGGAATTTTCCCTCTTCCAAAAGAGGGAATTTTCCCTCTTCCAAAAGAGGGAATTTTCCCACTTCCAAAAGAGGGAATTTTCCCTCTTCCAAAAGAGGGAATTTTCCCTCTTCCAAAAGAGGGAATTTTCCCACTTCCAAAAGAGGGAAAATACAGTTTCCAAAAACACTGAGGCAATAAAGGTTCAAAATATTACTTCAGGGCGAATATTACTATCTTGAGGTTCCTCTTGAGATGATTTCGGGGCTTTAGTGTCCCCGCGGCCCGGTCCTCGACCAGGCCTCCACCCCCAGGAAGCAGCTCGTGACAGCTGACTAACACCCAGGTACCTATTTTACTGCTAGATAACAGGGGGGCATAGGGTGAAAGAAACTCTGCCCATTGTTTCTCGCCGGCGCCTGTGATCGAACCCGGGACCACAGGATTACAAGTCCAGCGTGCTGTCCGCTCGGCCGACCGGCTCCCACACTGGAATATATTACTTTTAGAACAGCTAAAACTATCTCCTTCCTATCCTCCATGTTTTGGATGTACTGTATAGTAAGGACGAGCACCATAGTACATATACCGACATAGAACGCAATTAGAAAGTAGAAATCTGAACTACTGAGTTGGACAAACCTAAAAGCTAATTTTTACTTGTGTTGATTTGACAAACTAACCTAACCTAACCTAACCTAACCTAACCTAACCTTCCTAGACCTAACCTAACCTAACCTTCCTAGACCTAACCTAACCTAACCTAACCTAACCTAACCTAACCTTCCTAGACCTAACCTAACCTAACCTAACCTAACCTAACCTAACCTAACCTGACCTAACCTAACCTAACCTGACCTAACCTAACCTAACCTAACCTGACCTAACCTAACCTAACCTAACCTAACCTGACCTAACCTAACCTAACCTAACCTGACCTAACCTAACCTAACCTAACCTGACCTAACCTAACCTAACCTAACCTAACCCTAACCTAACCCAACCTAACCTAACCTAACCTAACCTAACCTAACCTAACCTAACCCAACCCAACCTAACCTAACCTAACCTAACCTAACCTAACCTTCCTAGACCTAATACACGATATCTGAGGCCTAATATAGTACATATGTGTACTATACTAGGCCCAGGAATATTTAAAACTAAAACAGAAACTTAAATATTTTAAAATAATTCCTTACTAGTCAATATACTACTATCTAAAAGCTACGAACGCCCGAATTCGTGACTATTGACGATAGTCACAATACGTACTGTCTAAACAGGAGGATGGGTTGAAATATTGAACAAAATATTGAATAAATTCACGAATTTATTCATGTAGTTTAAACAGAATTAATTTATTAAACCGCTTATTCACTTCAATATTATTAAATTTTTATATTCTGTGTTCAATTATTCAGACATTTTTAGTCATTAAAGGATACAGGAAGCTTATCGTACAGCTCCATACTGCTCTCAAAGATGATTTGTTTTTATTTCCCCAGAAATGTTTAATATTTTGACATCCTCTTTTTTTGGGGGGTACAAGCAATTTTTTAAATGAATTGTACATGGCCCATTTCCCAACCTATTTTGTGTTCAATGGTGCTGTTTTATTTTTGTATATATATATATATATATATATATATATATATATATATATATATATATATATATATATATATATATATATATATATATATATATATATATATATGTATATATATACATATGTCGTACCTAGTAGCCAGAACGCACTTCTCAGCCTACTATGCAAGGCCCGATTTGCCTAATTAGCCAAGTTTTCTTGAATTAATATATTTTCTCTATTTTTTTCCTTATGAAATGATAAAGCTACCCATTTCATTATGTATGGGGTAAAATGTTTTTTATTGGAGTTAAAATTAACATAGATATATGACCGAACCTAACCAACCCTACCTAACCTAACCTAACCTATCTTTATAGGTTAGGTTCGGTTAGGTAGCCGAAAAAGTTAGGTTAGGTTAGGTAGGTTAGGTAGTCGAAAAACAATTAATTCATGAAAACTTGGCTTATTAGGCAAATCGGGCCATGCATAGTAGGCTGAGAAGTGCGTTCTGGCTACTAGGTACGACATATATATATATATGCAATTGACGATCACGAAACACTGATAATTTGTATGCGGAAATTCAAATGTGTATGAAAAAATAGTAAATAGAAAACACACACAGGAGGCGGGACCAAAGAGCCAGAGCTCAACCCCCGCAAGCACAACTTGGTGAGTACCCACTTGATAGGGTAGATAAAGACAGGCTATTTAACACAAGGGGCACACGCACAAGGGGACACAGGTGGAAAGTGAGTGCCCAAATGAGCCATAAAGAAATTAGAAATAATTTGTTTAGTGTCAGAGTAGTTAATAAATGGCATGCATTAGGAAGTGATGTGGTGGAGGCTGACTCCATACACAGTTTTAAGTGTAGATATGATAGAGCCCAGTAGGCTCAGGAACCTGTACACCTGTTGATTGACGGTTAAGAGGCCTTATTCATGCCCGTGCCACCTCCTGTTTGGCTTAATCTTAATCAATCGATTGAGAGGTGGGGCCAAAGAGCCGAAGCTCAACCCCCGCAAGCACAACTAGGCGAGTACTTTTCAGTATCTTAGGATTATAACATAAATACACGAGAAGGATAATAATGACTAGAATTGCCTAAATGTTACACAAACAACAGAGAGAACAAACAGGAGAACTGCTCATGACGCATAACGTGATGCGCGGAACAATGAATAACTTATCTTGCAGTGTGAAAACTCCATAACGTGAAGTATCTGCGAGATAATTCGCAGATAATTAGATAATTCCAAGGCACGGTTGTGGGCCGGGCGGTTGAACGGTGCTCATCATGGTCCAGTGGGTAGTGTATGTGTTTGGGTAGTACAGCGACGGGGGTTCGAATCCATTGTATAACCTCAATATTTTCTGAATAACCTGAATGGTAAAGTGGAAATAGACCCTTGAGCAAGATATAACAGATAATAATGGTGGCCCCTGGAATCATAGTGGCTGCAGTTGAATGATGTTGCAATGGAGGCCTTTATTGTATTATTAATACCTATTTTAAACCTGAAGATATACCCGTACACACATGCGAGTGTACGGATCTGAGTTGCGAAAATCAGAAATACCCAAACTGTTTTAACAAACGCAGACTGCCATAGCCGAGAAAAGATGTACAGGTTTCGTCAGGGGACCCCCCAGAGGACTAAACGACTCCTGACCCCAGATACCCATCATCATACTTCCTATTATTGTCAACAGAAGGGAAGGGAACTATCAGGGGGGGGGGGGAAGCGCCAAGTCATTACGACTATATAGCACTGGGAAGGGGGTTGGGACTTTGGGATGGGACGGGGGAAAGGAATGGTGCCCAACCACTTACACGGTCGGGGATTGAACGCCGACCTGCATGAAGCGAGACCTATACACAACTGTGTTTTTAAGGTGATTTCTTAGTGAATCAGAAATTATCTTAAATAATAATTTTAGGTAAGAGTTTGGAGGAGGATGGGAAAGGGAAGGAATTAGGAGAAGGAAAGGCAAAAAGGAAGGGGAAGAGAAAGGAAGAGGAAGGGGAAGCTAATGGAAAAGAGGGGAAGAAGTAACGTTGAAAAAATAACGCAGTTTTGAAACCCGTTTCGTCAGCGGCATCAAAGAACACAATATAATTCTTTACTTAAAAGAATTTCTTGTATAAGTTTCAGCAGAAGCGCTTGTCCTCTACCGTCAGTAAAGAACCACTATTCTCTATCTACAATATATTTACTGGTTGATACCTGGTTGATGGGGTTCTGGGAGTTCTTCTACTCCCCTAGCCCGGCCCGAGGCCAGGCTTGACTTGTGAGAGTTTGGTCCACCAGGCTGTTGCTTGCAGCGGCCCGCAGGCCCACATACCCACCACAGCCAACTGTTTTAACAAACTAATTACATCTACTGAATAAAAAACTATTTACCTCTTCTACTGAAACAACAGTTAGCTAAACTCAGGTAATTACCAGTTGACTGACGGCTGTAAGGTGGGACCAAAGAACTGAGACTCAACCCCCCGACCCTCCCACACTTAGGTGACAACACACACATACACATACATATATACATACATATACAAGCTCTCAAAGATGGAAGTGGTCATACGCGGGTTAATATGCTCTCATGCTAATGGAGGAATTCCTGCCAGGAACAGTCTCCATTACTGAGAGAGAGAGAGAGAGAGAGAGAGAGAGAGAGAGAGAGAGAGAGAGAGAGAGAGAGAGAGAGAGAGAGAGAGAGAGAGAGAGAGAGAGAGAGAGAGAGAGAGAGAGAGAGAGAGAGAGAGAGAGAGAGAGAGAGAGAGAGAGAGAGAGAGAGAGAGAGAGAGAGAGAGAGAGAGAGAGAGAGAGAGAGAGAGAGAGAGAGAGAGAGAGAGAGAGAGAGAGAGAGAGAGGATCATATTGGACATGGTGATTCGGATCTCACAATAGTTATCATACATTGACAGGTATTTCACAATACCATATTAGAGCAACACCCAACCAATCACAATGCTTCAACAACAGCCCCCCACGATAACAGCCCCCACGATAACACCCGCCACGATAACACCCCCACGATAACAGCCCTCGCCCCTCCGTATATCCCATCAAGGATATTAAACGCAGTGTTCACAGCTCAACATATTGATGTAAACAACCTGTCCTCCCACTTG